CCCTCCAAAGGCAATGGGTAAGAAAAGGGGGGAGGCTTGGAAAGTGCCCTGAGCGGGCAGCCGCGGAGGACGAGGAGCGGGGCAGCCTGCGCAGCCAGGCCAGTGAGCGCCCAAAGTCCTTTACTTCCCTGGGGAAAAAAATCTATGCGGACTAGAAACAAAGGAACAGAAGGAGACAGACAGTCACTTTCTCTTATATTGTGGATATTTTATCCTTCTCTTTCACAGCAGCAACTTTAATAAATAAGTATGACGCCTGCAGCATTTTATCTGGAAAATAGCGCCGCTCCCGCAGGCTCACGCACGCCCATGTACAAAGTGATCTTCGCAGAGCACGGCAAACAGTCAGGTTTTTGGGACAAGGCTTTTAAAATCTGAGTTAGCTCCCCCCTCCCCCGGCTCCTATAGACCAAAAATACCTCTATCTTCAACTGCATAAAGGTTGTGAGTAGCAAACTTGTAAAAATGAAGTGTACAAAAGGAACGTCCATAAACATATTTGCACCCTGTATACAATGTGTCACCCTTTGAAACTGGCCAATGGTCAGCTATGGCAGATTGTCAACAATAGAAAAAGACCCCAACGTCTGTCACACACACTGGAATTGGTGGTTTGTGTGGTTTTCCAAAGAGGTTTCCATTTCCATTGACAGTACTTGCTGACAGTCTCCGTGTTTAATGATTGGTTGATGGTGCATAACTTGCTGATGGTCTTTATGGTTAAGAAGCCAGTTGAATTTCCTGGCATTTAGGCAAGTAACATTTGATTGTCACGACGTACAGTTCTGAGACAATAAATACAAGCAGATCAGATGCATTTCTTCATTGTATCAAGTAACTCCAGTTTAATACAATTTAGTGCATTTCAGTATCTCATTCACAGTTTGACTTCTGTCCAAATATTTACGCAACAAAAAGAAATGAAAAAGTTTACGAGAAAACTCCAGGTGAACTTGTCATTACAAAGCTTAAAAATTTAAAGCCATCCAATTGTCTCGGAAAAGAACGCATGGCCGCCACAGGGGCTGACCGGCGCCAGCTTCTCTGGTATTTCCCGGGCTCCCTGAAAATGACCCTGGTCCTTTAATTTCCCGAGTGGTTTGTGAGAAGGCCACCATTTTCATTGAATCAGCCAGTGGCAAACGCTTGTGCTAAAACTCAATTCACACGTGTCCACCCCCTCAACCAAAGAGAACACAGTGGGAATCTTCTACCCCAAAACAGTCCCTGTGTTTTTGCATCCGGGCCCTGATAGGCAAGAATGTGAAACCCGGATGTCTGCATGCACCCTGGCAGCCCCAAGCAGGGTTTGGGACAAAGCCTGGCCCAGTTCAAGTGGGTGGTATGGCCGGGAGTGGGGCTGGGGCACCCAGGCCGGGGCATCCGGAGAGGCTGGCCTTGGCTCTGCGAGCTAACGCACTAGACAAAGGGGCAGGCACGTGGGCCGGGGACATGCTGTCTCCAGAGAGAAGGCGGGCGGGCACCAGAGGCCCGACTCTTTCAACCCTCAGGCTGGTTACAGGGCAGCAGAGTTGGAAGGCAAATCACACCATTGGATGCTAAGTGTTGCATGCTGGGGGGCATGCACTACTGGTGAGAAGTTCATGGTGTGAGTTCGCGCTCAGGGTTGAACAGTTCAGCTGAAAGTCAGCCGGGCTGAAGAGATTCTATTTGGCTTATCCTATAGGTGTCTCGGGCAGAGACAAAGCAACATGCAGAGAATTAACTCATTCTTCACCCCAAATCTGACATAGTCATTAGTCACGTGGGTGTGGACAGCCTCCAGATAGCTCTCGAATTGCACGTGACTGCACCCACTGCTTTTCTTCAGACCAACATCATGCGCACCTACTGGGTTAATGTGAGGAGGGTTCTCCTGCCTCAGTGCCCACGGTGGTGACAGGGACAGACAAGGTAGCTTCAGAATTGATGTGACCACACCTCCATTGTTTGTGTTTTACAAGAATGTGCTGTGTACATTGTTGCTTTGTTATTATTTAGTGGTTTCTATGTTCAGAGCTCATCGCTTCAACCAGATCCTGTGCTTCTTGAGGACAGGGACGATAAAGCACCTCAAATAGGGCCATGCATATAGTATGCTGTCACCAAGGACTGGACAGCCAGTGCTACTTCTTTCTCTGGGTTAAAACTCATCAGTGGGTAGTGATTTCAAACCCCCTGCCAGGCCTCTGTTTGGAGAAAAAGAGGGCGTACATAAAGAGAAAAATCTACGACCTGTTTTCTCTCTGACCAGCCAAGCTTTCCCCAGCATCTGCTCGCTTGCAAGCAGCAGTCACAGTCACGGCTTACAGTGCCATCTAAAAGACCCCATAGAGGGAAGCCAGAAAGTCCCCAGGTGCTGGGAGCTGCTACAAAGTCACCATGGAAATACCACAGTCACCTTAGAAGCCCCTGGAACTCCCCAGAGAGGGCCCAAAGAACTGCAGCCTCCCCCCAGCTAGACACATAGGGAAGGCCCCTGAGCCAAACTCCACGCACCGGGCAGGGTCAGGATACATAGGTGGAAGGCGGCAAAGGACTCAGAAGCTGGTGCCTGAGAGGGGGGCCTTGCCCTGAGCTGAGAAACAGTGACCCCTCCCCCCGCCCCGCAGGGTCAGGGGCAGCTCGGAGGCACACGGCCAGCAGCAGAGCCTGCACCAGCTGGGAGGGTCGGCAAACACCTCCCAGCCTGACTGACCCACGGCCGAGCGTCGAGGGTGCCCACGAGGCCCAGGGCACATGCCAGCCCCTGCAGCCAGCGCGGCCTGTTCCAACACTCAGCTGAGTTTGACGTGACAACATCAGCAACAGATGGAGCTCCGCAGTGGGTGTGAAGGCAAAGAATAAAGAAAAGTACTATTCTGCAATTTATTAATTTGTAAAAAATTAAAAGTTCCCCTCCCTCTTTCTGAAGTGAATGAAAGCAAGATCCACCCTCTCAAAAAAAAAAAAAAAAAAAAAAAAAAAAGCCTGAACATTCATGCTGTAGTTTTTATTGCTCCCAAAGGGCTTGGTGTTCAATGCATGAGTTGATCTGTATTAAATCAGAGGGAATCACTGAGATTTAAAGTCTATACCCTGGTCTTGGTCTCCATTTGTGGAGGAGTCTGCATGCTCACTCATTAACTGGATGTAGAACTCCCACTCTACGTATTAATTTCAAGGGGAAGGAACTTATCTGGGAAACCAGGACTAGTAAACCAAGTGGTAAAAGACCTAAATTTGCATTTCGCTTGTAACGGCTCTGCCCCGGGGTGCCTCCCCCCTTCCTTGTCCCCTTTAAGATGTTTTAGGTGTTAACGATGAAGCAAATGACACCGATGAAGCCCCATAAAGAGCAGCATGCTGTGTGAAGGCAAAGCAACTCTCAAGTAGCCACTGGCCCAGAGGGAGCAGAGGGATGTGCTTTAGGACAGAGGCAAGAACGTCTCTGTCACCAAACAAAACTTAGGAGCATGTCACTGTTATAAAGAACTTATGCCATCCCGAGAAATATTCCCAAAACACACACGTAGGGCCAATACATTATTTTTCCAATATAGTTTCTAATGTTTTTCATGTCTCTTTCCTCCATTCATTTTTCTAGAAAATTCAACCTGCCTCTATTCAGAATGCTGGTTACAGTGTATCAGAGAGAACCCGTTATTTTCCTTCCCTTGCTAAAAAACGATGAGGGGAATGTGACGTTAAAAAACCAACGTGAAGGTGTAAGGAGTAAGTCCAGGGCAGGCAGGCTGGAGTGGAATAATTGAGCTGAGCCCCATGGGGAGGCAGGGAGGCGGGGAGGCAGGGAGGCGGGGAGGCAGGGAGGCCCTCGGCCTCTCCTCCATCTGCCCCAGCAGCTCCCAGCCTGGTCGTGGGGGCATCAACCTCCATCTTCAGAATAAACACCCCCCTCCAGGGCCACGCCTGAAAAGGTCGCCGAGAGGACAGGCCACACACAGGCTGCCGGGACCCTTGGGAGACATTCTGCTGGGTCCCTGTGGACATGGGCCCCGCCCAGCCGAGAGGCCGCGCCCCTGGTCAGATGCAGGCCCTCCCCACAGGGACACTTGTGCCTGCTCAGGCCAGGAGGGTGGCACAGGAGGGAGTCAGGCTTACCACCTCCGGCTTTCATCAGGGCCTTGAGAGCCCTCAGCAGATCAGCTGTAAAAATCAAATCTCTAAAAGCCCAGGAGCTCTGTGTTAACGGTCTCCAACCCCCTTTAGAAGACTGACTGGGCGGTGACATTGCTTCCCAAGCAGCACTCACAGGTTCTGGGGGCTGTGGGGCAAAGGCCTTCCTCAGGCACGCGCAGCACCTCCGGGCTCCTGGCTCCCGGTCACCAGGGGAGAGGACACCAGCCCAGCGTGGCCTCTTCCCCAGCACCCAGCAGCGGGACTGCAGCCTGAAGGCCGCAGGGAAGAAGGGACAGAGCAGCTCTGGGTGCGGGAAGAATGCTACATCTCCGCGCGTCCCCGGGGACGTACACGCAGGATTAGGTAGTGACCTGCACAGCGTTTGCCTGCAGCCAGCCCGGTGCCAGGCGCCCAATCCACCTGAGCCCCAGTGTGCGCTTTTTGCGCGGAGAGCTTTCCCAGCAGCGTCCCCATCCCCACTGGCTCTCCAACCCCACTGCCTGGAAGTGAAGGTGTTGGCCACCCTGGGGGACCAGAGACCCTGTGACATTCGTTCCCAGGAGCAGGGGCGGGGGGGGGGACAGGGAGGAGGGGGATGCTGAAGAGAGTTTGCTGGGGGTGCAGGGGACGAGTTGAGGGGCCAGGGCTAGTTCCTGAAATCACAGATAAAAGCAAAAAATAGGACCTAAGTTTCAGAAGAGAAAGCATTAGAGGCTCTCTCTGGCCGGCAGAGTCCTTGAGGGATGACGCTGGGTGAGACCCTGGTACCCCAGGAGCCACCTCCCCAGAGGGGTGACGCCCTCCGTGCCCGATCTCCCATGGCAACAGGCGGGCCCTGCTGTGCGCTGCGACCATCTCCATCTGGCAGGCCTTCCGATCTCTTTACTCTTGGCTCAAGTTTATTGGTTAATATTAGTCACCAGTTAATAAGAAAAATAGTTTCTAAGTGTCTTTTTTCCTCTCCGTATGTGTTGTCGTTTTTAATTGAGTTAATCAGATACCACCGTCAGATTATGTGTGTTCAATCACAGCCATTAATTACTCCTTTTTCTTAAATTCTTGGTTTCCGTAGCTGGAGCCTTTTTCTATTTCAGTTACTCCTATTAGCCGGCGGACTCCAAAGGAAGCTTTAAAACAGGAGAAAGGCGAGGTTAGACAGATCAGCTGGGAACATCATTGTTGGGGGGCCCTCGTGGGGAGCAGGCAGGCCCACTCCCACTCCCCTCCTCCCTCTGCCCCACACGTGCCCAGTCGGCCGGTCCCCATGGAGCAGCCGCTTCCGCAGCAGAGTGGCCCGGGCCCGCTCCCTGAGGCCCGCAGGCTTCGCTTGGACCCTGGCTCCGTGCCACCTCCCAGTGTGCTGCGATCGCCTCCAGGCCAGGGCGCCCCGGCGGGCACACGGCAGACCCCGACCTTGAGCTGTGCGACATCTTGCGTTCCTTACCTGCCCCAACGAAGCCCAGGAACATCAGGATCAGGAGGGGAGAGCCACTTGCAAAGACATCCAGGACAAAGCTGAACAGAGGAGACAGGAGAACCGTGGCCCAGAAGAGGAAATTCAGGAGCGTCCACGGCCGCCGGGCGGGTTTGAACCGCTGCCCTGGAAACACACCCTTCTGGTTATACGTCTCCTGCAAGGCATCCTGCGAGAGTCCACAAGAAAAGCAGTGTCTTTACATGCTGTCCTCTTAACAGAGAGACAGTGTAGACGGGAAACTTGGCTCTCCCTGTGAAGTGCCACAGAGGGGGACGGGTCATGCGCTGCAGGCGGGAGATGAAGCGGGCATGGCCTGCGCAGGCAACCGTGGCTGCTCCTATCAAAACTTGTAAAAATACAAACCCTTCAACCTGACATGTTTCCCAGGAAAGCAATGAGTCCGTGCCTGGCTCTGGACAGGCACGGTGACCCCATGACTGGGTGTGTGAGTCAGGCCCTGCGTCACCTCCCACTGCGTCTCAAGGGCAGGACTGGCAGCCATGACCCGCTGGGTGTCCAGCGGCCGGCCGGGACACAGTCACCCACAGGAAGTTACCTCGCCACTCCTTCCTCTGCTTCCTGTAGGCTGATGGAGAGGGGAGCCGGCGAGGACGGGGAGGCGACACTAACAGGGCTTTGCCAGCAGTGGCCCGGGGACATGCTGCGACTGCCGGGCACAGGACGGCAGAGGAAGGGGACACCTAACAGAACAGACCTCCGCAGCCACCACAGAGCGTGTTAACAAGGAGGTGCACCTGTGGTATTTGAAGTACAATGTGACTCTCTGTAAACAAAAAAATACGCACGGCTGGATATCTGCACGGGACTGTGTTTAGAAAGACGCACCCCACCCCCCAGCCCCTATGATCTTAAGTACCTCAGGGAAGGCAGTGTCGTCTGTTTTTATTTTCATTTTATTTCCGGCATTCAATTTTTAAAAACAGGGCTGTGGGTCCTGACAGACACCCGGCCTCACAGCCTCATGCAACTCGCAGACACCACCACTCACGGCCTCGTGTGGTCAGATGCGCCCTTGACCTTCACACCCACACATACACCCCCGAGTGACTGGAAGCCCCTGCCCTGCATGGCCCCAAGCACGTTCCTGCCCTTTTCAAGCTCACTTGGCCACTTCCACTCTGACCGCCCTGACCCGAAGCTGGTGGGTCCTGCCGCCAGCTCCCTTGCCTCTCAGAGTGTCTATGGCAGGTGGCGGTGAAGGTGGACCAGGGCTTGAGCTGACACTACAAAGCCAGAAGGCGGGACCTTTCCTTGCCTCCCCGGGGGGGGGGGGGCAGCCCACCACCTTTCAGAATCAGGAACCATGTTTTAAGCTGTGATTTAGTGTCCCTGTGCGCAACGCCAGGAGGAAACGAAGCTCACCCTCGGCACGGGGGCCTTCATACAGGTTTCCGCCCCAGCGCTGGGCCTGCCCCGCAGGGAGGAGTTTGTGAAGTTGCTTCTCAAGTATTTTGTCCTTTCTCTAATTCTGGCTCCACACCTGACCAAGTTCCTCCTTTCCTTTTCAAACCTCTTTTGAATATGCTTATTCTGGAACATCAGGGAAACTGAGAACATTTCAACCATCAGCTTGTCCAGAGCACCTGCCTCACCACTGCTGGTGCCGTCTCTCTTGGCCCCCAAAGCCGGCCCCACACCGGGGTGGGCGGGGGGAGGCTCGAGGCTCTGCTATCGCAGGGCCCAGAGTGCACCCGATACAGAGTGGGACAAAACAAGGCTTACTGCAGTGACGACACAAAACGCAGTTTACTCTTTTGTTGATTAATTACTGCGCAGGAACAACTGTAAGCTTCCTTTCACCCAACCCGGTGCTGTGAGGGCAATTTGAGTTGCTAGGAGGCAAGAACCCCGGGCGCCAGGACTTCGTCCCAGTTCCCTTGCACACCTGCCGCCTGTCAGGGCCAGGCGTCCCTCCGCCGGGCAGCAGGCGTGGTGGACGTGCTCGGGCCAGAGGCCCGGAGGCCTGGGGGCTTCCAGCCTGGCCCCTCGCAGGACAGCCCCTCTCTTCTCAGGACCTTAGTTCTACGTCTGTGAAATGGGGAGGTTGTAGAACGAGGTGGAAGGCCCTTTGGAGATGCCACGGTCCGTCCCTATGTCACGGCTGGAGCTAACCGGTAATCGGCGTGCTCGCCACAGCTCCCGGAGGGTCAGCGCAGGGTCTCTGCCGCTTCCCCGGCCAGCAGCCGTGGGACCACAGGCCCTCCATTCCCAAGAAGGTGGGGAGGGGCATCTCAGGCTCAGCCAGGGGACACAACCCGGGCAGGCTCCTTGAAGCACAACTTAGAGAAATAGCGCGAGGCACCGAGCCGTCCACCTCCGTGACGGCACTCAGTATTTACGTCTCACGCACGCAAGCTCCCACGCACACCCGCCCCACTGCTAACAGCAAAGTGGGACACGCGCGCATTTCACAGATAGGAACAGAGTATCGGCACTGGGTGGGACACCATGCAGCACCGACAAGGGGTGAGTTCAACACTTATGTCCCTGTCAACAGATATAAAAAACAATGGTGACTGAAAAAAGAAAGACATGAGAGAATACCACAGCATGGCGTCCCCAGAGTGAAGTGAAATATAAGTGACACACAAAAAAACTGAAAATGTCAGGTTATGTAATTCAATATGATAGAATAACACAGCAAACAGTGTAAACGTAAATCAATTAGTTATGTCAAACATGTCCTTTGCTGCACTTGCATTAGACTATTTCAAGGAAGTGAACCAGCTAAGAGAGGAGGTCCTATGTCCCCTCACCTGCAGAAGTCACCCTGCTCCTGACCTGGGATTTCCATTCCCACACATGGTTTTACACTCACGCCGCACACGTGCGTGTCCACAACATGAACGCACAGAGTGCTGCACGCTTTGCAATCTTCTGTCAGTGGTGTCACGCCATGTATGTACTGCAATCTGCTTTTCTCACACGATTTTCTCCAGATTCAGTTACGTTGATAACGTGTAGTGCATTAGTTTGAACTCAATCACGGCAAGTGAATACATAAACACAGTGTGTCTATTTCCTGATACACTTGTAGGTTATTTCTCATTTTCTGCTGAACTACTACTGTTGCTAGCAACTGCCCCTTCGTTTACAGAGTTCCAAACTTCTCCAACCGGAGACTCAGAGACTCATTTTCCTCCACCACCTGGTGCGCACGAGGCCTATCTGCCCACCTGCCTGGTGTGCGTGCTCTGTTTCTTTTTCATTTATGGTTTTTCTGCTGGAGAGAGTTGTATTGTTCTTTGAGATTATGTTTTATCTAAGGTTTCAAATATGTGAGCATAGAGTTAGTCATACTGTTCTCACGTAATTTCCACACCCTGCTCTCTGGTTGGGTGGCTGTTTTTATTCCTATTAATGCCATCACTCTTTTTCAATTGGTCAGCCTTGCCCAAGGATTTCTATTTTATAATAGTTTTAAAGGAAAAGTTTTTGGTGCAGTTGATTCACTCTTTTGTAACTTTGCTTTCTGTTAATATAATTTATGCTATTTTTATTCTTTGTTCTACATTCTGGGCTTACTCTGTGTTTGTGTGTACATGCATATGCATGTATAATATGTGTGTGTGTGTGTGTGTGGTTACTAAAAGGATAAAACGTGTAAGACTTTCAAAGAGATGCTGATACAAAGTAAGAGATATGTCCACTATTAACCTCATGGTCCGTCCTTTGCGGGCAGTATGTCTTTTCTCTCTGGTCATTCTTAGATCTTTGTCTTTGGTGTTTTGTGGTTTTATTACCAAGCAGGGTGAATTCCTTTTTATCTGTCTTATCCCAGACTTGAATTCCTTGAACCTGATGAAATCCATGTTCATCAGTTCTAGGAGTTTTATGGTCATCAGCTGTGACGCGTGCGCCTCGCCATTCCTTCTATTTTCTCTGCCTGGACTTTCTCATCATCACCCACTGGACCTCTCAGTCTACTCTGTCTTCTAACCTTCCTTTCATAGTTACACTTCCTCTGGGCTGCATTCGGAGTAATTTCTTCCTAACCTTCCCGTCTACTAATTTTCTCGTCAGCTGTATCTCATCTGATATTTAATTTGTTAAGACTTTACTGTTAATGACTAGATTTCTCATGCCTATAAATTCTACTTGGTTTTTCTCAAATCTCAATTTTTCCATAGGTCTTGTTTTTTTCAGTCCCTTCTTTTATGCTTAATCATTGCAAAAATACTGATTTTAGTCTGTCTGATAGTTCTGTGCACTGAGGTTTCTGGAGTTTAATTTTTATGCCTGGTGTGTCTTGCCCACGATGGGTTTTAGCTCTGAGCTCATCTCCAGCAGAATTTCACTTGAGGAAATTTGGGCAGCGTAGGTTTGGAGTCATGTTCTTCCAGCTCTGCATGTGCTCCTCCCAGGACTCTAGAGAGATTTGCCTGGAACCACTTTTCATGTTGATAGTTTGTGTTTTTGAATGATGATGATAGTGTAAATTCAAACCCCAAACCTGTTTGCAGCCAGGCTTGGGATGTTGACTTACCAGGGGGACCTTTCTGAGACCAAGAGGGGAAAGCTTCCGAGTCCCTTCCCTGCGCTGGCAGGTAGGTGTTTTTGTTTAACCTTTCTAAGGGTAAAGCCTCTCAGAGGTGCCCAGCTTCACGGAGGGTTTCCAGCTCTAGCTCCTGCTTTGAATGAGGTCAACCCCTTACCTGCTCCTTCCAGGTAAACATTAAAACTCAAGACTTCGGTTAAGGAGACCAGCAAACTCCACCAGGAGAGCCCATAGGCTTATCACGGCTTTGAAGTTCCAGCCCCCTTTTTTTTTTTGATCCCTAGAGATTTCCCTCATTTTCTTGCAAGCTGGTCAATGCATTTAAAAGGATACTTGTTATCTACTGAAAGGATTTTCTAATTGCCTAAGCCTTCCTCAATGCTGAAAACAAAAACCAATTGTCCCCTATGTTTCTCTATATAAAATAAACCAGAATTGAGTCGGGGTGATGCATGCTATGGGGAATGGATGGAGCTGGGTGGGGTCATAAGAATCTTCTCATGTCATTTATGTTCTGTTTCTTCTTGTAAACCATACACACACAGATGTATGTCTAGTCTATATCTATAATTTCTTTTATATGAAAAAATAAAACAAATGAAGTCAAGTGTTATTCTCCATGGTAACATAAGCACTGTGTTACCCTTACACTTTTCTCTAGTATGTTCATTTCTCAGAAGTTAAGCAAAACGACAGAGGAAGGGTCGTAGAGACGCCTTTGAGAGCCGGGCGGCGCTGCTGAGGCCGCAGGCAGTCCGCGGGCCGGCCGCCGCCCCCCAGCTGGCCCTCGAGCCCTCCCTGGGACCCCGGGGGAGGCCGCGCGCCTTTACCTTCTCCTGGTACAGTTTGTGAAGCCATTGAGCCGCCTCCTTTTCATCCTGTGGGATCTGCTCCAGAGGAAACCTCCTGTTTCACGAAGAAGATGGGAAGCAAAGTGAGTAACGAGAGGACAGAGAACTGAAAGCGGGAAAACCGGTGCCCAGGATTACGCGCCGGCCTGCTCCTGCTAATCGGTCTCATTCTGACTTTCCAAAAACACACAAACATCAAAGTGACTCCTCGGGTGTTCCGCAGGAGGTGACCTGGGCGACTGCGGGGCACAGTGGAGGGGCCCAGACGCATCTGCATTCACAGGGGAGTGGGAGCCTTTCACAAGGGACCACGTGAGCAGCGCAAGGAGCAGATCACGCCCCGGTGCCTCTGTGAAGGGTGAGCCCTTATTAGCTTCAGCAGGACTGTGGGTCTCTCTTCACAGTTCACTCTTGGAAATAATCATGATTCAGACTCTTTCATTAGGCAAAGGAGATGAAATCTACTTGCTTCAAATGTGAAAAGCGATAGAGATTTAGACACTCAATCTCAATTAACAAACAGCTGACTTTGGTCAGGACACTAACTTATTTATAAACCAAATCACTAGCCGGATTACCAGCCCCTTGCGCGGAGGTGTCTACCTGGTAAGATTAGCAGGACAAGAACCACTTTCCATGGATGGCAACTGTCCTACCTCAAAAACGCCAGCACACATGTGAGCTAATATGGCTAACCAGCAGGATGCAGGCCACCACAGGACCCCGCTGCCCACCTCAGAGGGTGAAGTGCACACAGCCCAAGGTATATCTCCATGTTCTAAGATATCTCAAACTCTTTGCTCTAAAAATTGAGAACTTTGGTTTATGTGGCTTATGTCTGTATCACTGCCATATTCATTTATAGGCACATACACACTGTCAGATAGTGGAGCCTCTGGGAGACTCCACCACACGCTCAAGGGAAGCGAAGGCATAAAGCCCCCTAGAAAACCCCACCAGTTTAACCTTGTGGACCCCAAAAGGTCTTGGAGATCCCTGGGAGGCCCACGCTACATCTTTAGAACAGGTGCTTCAAGGATTTGCCCCAGGCACCAACCAGCTCAGTGAGAAACTAAGTTCAGAAGGGGTTTACCTACAGAAAGATGACTCCCTAAACGTTTCTAACTCAACCGACTGTTCTCCCTGATTTATATCCATTGTGTACAAGCCACGTAAAGGTTCTGTATATGTCTGTTAGATGCACTATGAAATACATAAAATAAGAATTTAAAATCAGACAAAAATAAATACACAGATGAGCATCTCTCTCTTGGACATGACTCAAACCACTTTAAGGACGCTGGCCAGCGGAGCGCAGGGGAGCCTCAGGCCACCATCGCCAAAGTGCCTGGCCGTGGCCAGCTGCAGGCCCCCAGAACTTCCCCAGCAGGGGCAGAAAACGCGGCAACCCCTGGCTTATGGGATGGCAAGCATGTGTTAGACTCCCTAGAATAGTGCTTTTACTCAAAAGCCAAATGGGAAATGACAAAAACACTAAGTTAAGGCTTTTCAAAGTTCTAAGAATATATCTATTAACGGAAGACTGGGTAAACTATAGACCCATGTTCTCTGCAGCAAAGGGGAGAATGAACAGATGAAAGTGCAAGTCCTCTCCAGCTCGAGCTGGCATCCCCGCGGGGCGCGGTGCAGCCTGCGGGGTGGCTGTGGGAATCAACCGCGCACTGGAACCACCGGCCTCTCCGGCCCCACCCCCTACCAGCTCTGGCCTGAGGTACCTGAGCCCTCCTGACCATGGCCCACCCCTTACCGCCCAGGCCAACAGCACGACCTGCCTCCAAGGCCATCAAGCGCTTGGCACAGAGCCCACCACCACTGTCACTCTCCTGGGCCACATCCGGGTCTAACTGGAGCCACAGCCAGCGGAGAGCGGACCTGGCTTTCCCGGGTCAGGACCATCCAGGGCCCGGAGAGATCACCCAGTCCCTGGGGGGCCACACTGGGTCAGCCCCCTGCCAGGAGTTCTAGAGACCCAAGGGTGGGGACCCTGGGCTCCCCTGATCCCAGGGTGACATAAGAGACTGTACCTAGTTTGAGCCAGTCCACTGAAAAACTTCAGAAGGAAAAACCTACCCAGCTTATTACTTATGCTCACAAAATTATTCCCAGAAATTTCCTATAGTGTGGCCAGAACTGGAGGGTAGTTAAAAAAACAAAAACAAAACACAGCTACTGGCTCAAGCTCCCCCGGCTGTTAACAGAAAGGGCCCATCTGAGCCTCCACCAGTCACACTGACCCGCATGACTGCTGAGTCGCCAGTGGCTGGGTGGCAGACAAGAGTGTAACACAGAGAGGTTCCGTGTGATTTACACACAACCAGGGAGGGGCCTGCCCCCTGGGCACACCTCAGTGACACTGACAAGTTCAGCCGGGATGGCCCAGACAGGAGACAGCCCTGGAGGTCCTGCCTGGGGCTCTGTCTTGAGCTGGAATCAAAGCCTCAACACCACTGTATTAATAAAGTAGTCCCCAGGTTGTTTTACGTTAAAACGATTTTTCTGGGCAGATTATCTTCTCTTCTTGAGCCAGAGAAACTTGGAGAGTCAGAGGGTGGCACTGAGACACGCAGCCGGCGTTCGGGTGTGACTCTCCCAGTTGCAGACCTCGATCTTGAGCCTCAGAAATGAAGGCCACTCTCCATGGGAGGTCACACCTGCATCTCAGAACAAAGCCCCGGGCTCGGCAGCGGACACCCGGGTAACCTCGTTCCTGTCCCGCCTTGCTGGCACCGGAAACCACTCGGGATGAAACCTAAAACGGACCCTCCCCCCGACGCCTTTTCTTTCAAACACAAGTCCCTTCAGTTCTGGGGCTGAAATCGCCAGGGCCAACAAAAGTCACGAAAATGGAGCTTCGATGCAGAAGGTTCTGTGGGAGAGCCTGCACTGCCGGCCTCTGAGCACATCTGGTTCTCCCCCTGGGGGAAAGGCGACCCCCACGTCCACCAGGCCGCATGATTGCAGGCCCCAGGGAACTACTGACCCAGCAAGACATGGACAAGGCCAGGGGAGCACACTGCACGGGCCCCCAGGAAGTGGGGAGGGAAGTTGGCAGGTGCCCCCCCCCATTCTGCCCTGACAACTTCCCCAAAAGGAATGAAACATAAAACTGAAACAAAACAAGGGTCTCCCTTTGTACTTTCCCTTCTCAGGCTCCTCCAAAGGGCCCCCTGGGCAGGCCCTGCCTGCAGGGAGGCCTGGAGAAGGTCCCCCACGGCTTCTAGGTCCCTGGGGCAGGACTTGAGGCCAGCCCTCTTGTGAGCTGAAGGAGGCCACCCCTTCCCCCTGCCACACTGAGCACGGTTCCTGCATCCCCACCAGCAAATGCTGTCAGACCTTAGTTCTCTGGTCCCTCCCCACCCCTCCCTTGCCTCTAGCCTCTTGCTCTGCGTATAGTAAGCACTCAATACATATTCACTAAATGACTAACAGGAATTGTTTCTTATAATCTGAGGACGTTTTCAGGGCTCCACAGGGCCCTGCCTCAGACTGAGTTTCTCTTCCTGGATTCTCTGGGTTCCTGAGGCCACACAGCCGCTCTGCAGGGGCCTGCACCTGCGTCCCTCCGGCAGGACAACCCCAAACACAGGCTTGCGGCCGGCGCAGGGGAACCCGAGGGGCTCAGCCCCAGGGTTACCAGGAGTGGGACTGGGGCCGGCTGTGTCCCTGACCCTTCTCTCTGGGGCTGTCTCGGCCTCAGCCCGAACCACGAAAAGGGGACCATGGCGTGCCCCTCGGGCTGGGAATGCTGTCCTGGTCTTGCCTGAGGAAATCTAGTCCCTGTGCAAATTTCAGCTCGGCCTCTTTCAAAAGCTTCTGTGCCCCTGTCAGTGGAGGAGGTCATTCCTGCCTGGACCATCTGGAACATTCTGCCTTCACCCCACAGCCACTCGTTCGCTTTGTGCGACAGCCAATGATACCCAGGTCTGTCCCAATTCTGCCCATCCTAGATGGTGGGACTTCAGCCACCTCCATGTGGGGGCAGCTCAGGAGGCAGAGGGTCACGCACCGGGGAGGGGCACCAGGCAGGATGGGGTGCCCGCTGGGCACCGAGCTTACCTCACACACATATCCGCCTCGTACTTCTTCCCGTAGAGGATCCCCAGCAAAGACGGGTTCTTGTTTCCCCGGAAATTCAGAGTGACATCGTAGACAGCGGCGACTGTGGGGGGCGGGGGGTGGGCATGAGCCAGGCCACCACCCCTCGCCCCTCTCCCCACACAGAGCCCAGCAGGCTCTTCACAGGGGTTAGTTTCTCTCTGCCGATCCCCGCCTTTTAATGGGGCATTCAACTGATTCGCGTCTAAACTACTTCCTGATGTGCATGCGTTTCAATCTCTAGCTGTTTTCTACTTGTCCTAGCTGTTCTCTGCCCCTTTCTTTTACTTTGCCTCCCTTTGGGTTAGGTATATATATATTTTTTCCTATATAAGGTTTTCAGTTATATCCTTTTTATTATTTTAGTTATTTTTCCATTAACTAGCATTTTATCATCTCGAAAATAATACAAGAATCTTAACACGCTAACTCCACTGACTTGGCTCTCCCCTTTCCGGCCTGCATTTTACATGGGATTCACTCATGTAGTTGTTCACTATTTTCATTTCTCACTTCACGTGGAGGCCAGAGGACCCGCGGCATCCTTGGCTCTCAGGGGCACAGGCCCTTACCTGTCCCGCGCAGGCACTGGACCGCGGTGGTAAAGCCCTTGGTGCGAGGCAGCAGGTGATACTTGAGGGCGGGCAGCCCCTTAGAGGCGGCCACCTCCATGCTGACGCGGTGCTTCTTCTCCGTGAAGCGTGTACCCTCACAGTAGAGGAGGAACTAGGGCACAAGCACAGGACATGGGCTTGAGCGCCTCCCATGCGCGGGCTAACCCGACTGGCAGCAAAGAGCCTGCTGCCCGACTGTAGAGGGACAGCAGCACTCTAGTGACAAGCACTTGGCATATTTTAGGGCTACAATCTGCACTCTTGTCGCACACATTCCCTCACCACACAGCTAACAGCATTGCACTTATTCTCAAAGAATGCCATAGAGAACTTTCCAGAAAGGAGGAAACATGAAGATCCCTGGGCAGCAGCCTCCTGGTTGGAGTGGGAAACATTTACATGAGGTAGAAACGCTAAGTGAGGGGCCAGGGCTCAAAGGACTGTCTGGGACCAGACAGAAGGAGCAGAAAGAGCAACAGGAAATTTGAACTGACCGACACCATGGATTCTGAGCGGGTGCCCATTGAACTCATCTGAGGGGCTTGAAAACTACCCGAGTCCCCCAAGGCCCCGGCTGTGACAGGGAGGTGTCGTGTGCCCCATGACTCTTCCGTCTCCTGCAGGATGAACTTGCCCAGACCTTCAGGTCACTAGGGTTCAAGATGGAACCACCTCAAAGGAAGACCCTCGCTGCAGAGGCAGCTCCTCAGCCTGGGTGCTGGGTGGGCACCTACTTACCAGTCCACTGAGCAGAGCCACAGCGCACCTCGCTGCCCCAATCCCAGGTCTGGCTCTCCGCTGGGGCAGGGGAAGCTGGCCCCAGGCCCTGCTCTGACGGGGACTCAGAGCCTCCTGCTGGCCTGGCCTTCCCACTCGTGACTCAGGTCACGTCACAGGCCTGAGGGGAACGCAGCCAGCATGGCCTCCTGGGCCAGGGCGCGCAAGCACACATGGACTCACCCACATGTACTCGGGGTAGTCGGCCAAGCACTTCAGCCCTTCGATGACGGTGTCCCGGTCCTCCTCCCACTTCCTCTTGCAGAACACAATCTCCAGGAAGTACCACGTCCAGCCGATGAGGGGCACGTACAGCAGCTCCCTCTTGGCCAGGACTTTGGAGCTCTGGAGGGAGAAGGGGAGCATGTACTATGCTCTAGGCTGCGAGACCCCCCGGCCGTCCCAGGACGGGCGGGCGGGCGGGCAGTGACTTCACGGTCCTCAGGGGCACCCTGACACCAAGTGTGGCACCGCTGGGATCGACTTGACCCAGAAAAGCAGGTGCTCCTTCCTACAGATGAGGCAGCCAAGGCACAGGCCTGGCAGAGGGAGGGCGCCCAGGACTCAGCTGCATGGACTGGCCACCAGGCTGGGCCTTCCTGAGGAGGCGGGAGCGCCACACAGAGGTGCTCTCTGCCACAGGGCTCTTTCTGAGCCGGGCTCAGGGTGTTAGCGTGCGTCGTGGTGCCTGGCTCCCCCAGGAAGCCCTAGGGACTCCCAGGAGAACAGATAAATCTTCTGAGGGGAAAGGTAGGGACAGCCAACCTCAGGCGAGCCCAGGGGCAGCTGAGGCCAGCCTGCCGTCTGAGGCCCCTAAGTGAGCCACGCACCTGGACCCCTAGCTCAGGGGACCAGGGGCTGAAACTGGAGGGGCGGAAACCCGACCCCGGAGAGCCACGCCAGCACCTCCTGAGGCCCCCGCGGAGCCAAGGCCACACCTCACTCACCCCCAGCACGCCGAACCGCTCACATATGGTCCACCCGCAGAGGAAGTCGATCTCGAAGTTGTGATTGAGGATGATGACCACGTGCTCCTTCCCCAAGTGGTCCATGGTGGCCTGGTCAGTAAACAGAGTGCACTCCGTGCAGGACCACCACTCCAGCAGCATGACCAGCTCTGCGGACACACAGGGAGGGTCGTCGGCGAGCGCAGGTCATGCTCCGGGTTGGGAGCGCAAGCCAGGCCCCAGCTCTGATGCGGGCGGGAAGACTCCAGTATTTTACCCAGACAGGGCTCTTCTGGTAGAAACGAGTTTTGGAGGTTTACATTTAATAAGTTTCCCTAATTTAAAATGAACTTCTCTGAGCAAAAGTAAGGGAGAAGACAAATGAAACTTTCAGAATGTCGCAGAAGAAACAGGAAAACCAGCAGTTTGGATGGTTATCTTTGTCCAGTTATGATTCCCACATGTGCTGCCATTTTAGAGAATATCACACGTGTCATCCACGGGGTGGGGGGAGACAGGTGGGTGTGGGCACACAGCCAGCCCCGCATCCCCCGTGGTCAGCAGCCGGGGCTGTGCGGGAGCCACTGCCAGCCACCGTCATGCCCACCACGGCCAGGTGTCCTGGGAGGGGTGAGCTCACGCTCCAGGGAGCACAGCGCCAGTGGGGCTCAGGGACACCACAGCACAGCCCGTCCTCTGTGCTGGACCCCGGCCCATCCATTTTCCAGGGGCACCAGCCCTTGGGGATGGGGCCAGGGAATGCCACCGGGCAGGACAGCCCAGAGCCTAGAGATATCATGAGACATGAACGCCATTTAACAGCTTTCAGTCCCCGGAGAGCCACGCCAGCAGTGTCCATCTGTCAGATGAAGACTGATTTCATAAGTACGAACACACAGATGCACGTCTACACACAGATATTTGATTAAGAGAGATCAGAGTCCTTTTCTTTCAGAGAGAGGCAAGTGAAAGGCCAGGCCACCTGCGGAAGGAGTCACAGCCCTTTGGGGCAGGGTGCCGGGGGACAGTGAAACAGGCCTGGCCAGGTATGGGCAGCTTTTAAGGCTGCTGATAGTAGACTGAGTTTATGACTGTTTCCAAATCCCAACGCACTAACATGCTAAACCCCATGAAACGGCCACCTCTGTGGGTCCCAGTGGTCAGGTGTCAGAATGTCGCATGGTGCACCCCGATGAGGAGTTTTGGGTTGAGCATCTTTCCGCAGGCCCCCACGTGGAGCTGCCCAGTGGCTGGGCACCCTCCGTCATCCAGGCGGCCCCCACCGCGCACGCAGACAATACTCACGGCTCCAGAGCGAGTAGGAAAGGCGGCAGTTCAGCCGGCGGTAGAGCTGCTTGTTCACGGGCCAGAGAGCGAGCGTGCACAGCTGGATGAGGTTGATGATCAGCCCGCTCACCACGAAGACGAACCCGATGAGGAGGTGCACGACAAACTGGGTCTTCAGGTAGGCGAGCAGGCCCATGGTCGCTACTCAGGAGCGAGTGCAAGGGCCTTCACTGAGAACAGCTGTCCTGGAAGGACAGGGACAGCGGTCAGGAGGTGCGCCAGGACCTAGGGACCGGAGCTGCAGAAGAGCAGACACCTGTGGTCCCCGTGCAAGAGCCTGAGAGAGAGCAGATGCAAGGGCTTTCCTTCTGCAGGCAACACACAGGGCACACAGGGGACCTGACACATGTCACTTATCCATGTGTCACGCATGCTCACCCCCCCACACACAGCACGTGCGCACACACACCATACCACAAACACACACATGAACCAAACACACACACACACCCCCATGCATACAGAAAAGGGAGGAAAGATTTGAAGAGATGCACTCAAATATTAATAGTGATTATCTCCAGGTAAAGGCATTATGGGTAATTTTTTTAGCATCTTATTTAAAAGATTGAAACTACATGAATCTCTATAAAAACATGAACTACTTCTTAATTCCCATGCTGTTGTACACTTTTTTTAAGCTAAAAGACTTTTGTGTTGGTTTCTAATACAAAAGCAGCCATTCCCCCAATAACTTAACTGGGTTTTCTCCCCTTTCCTTCAGTGTGCATTTCTTAGTTCCCAAGGCAAAGCCAGCGCTCACATGTCATGGCTGGGCCTGCTCTAAAGGGGAGCTGGCAGACAATTCCCCCGGCGAGGAGAGAAGCCCCGGAAGCTGTGATTCCACCCCGGCAAGTTCAGAGCTGGCGAGGGGCAGCAGGGGGTGGCCACTCCGCTTTGGGTCCTGCCCACCTGGTCCTTGGCGGGGGAGAGGGCAGAGGTGGCCCTGGAGACAGCTGCACAGGCCCGGCCCCGTCCCTGCTCCCTGGGGCAGGCGTGGCTGCGCTTTGTGAGCTGAGCGCACCAGGGCCCGGCTGCTGCCGCCTGCCACTCGGCATTCCTCTGCCTGGAGAACAAACTGCCAGGAATGGCTGTGGGATTTTCAAGGCTGAGTCATATAAGGGTCTCTGCTTGGCTGGCTCGCGGGGGGAAGCAGCTGCCACGGGAGGACACTGGAGCCCGAGGGAGCCGAGACTGTGCCAGGAGAGGGAGCCACTGCGGGAGCTGACCCTCCAGGCCCAGTCAGGCCTTACACACCCGCAGCCTGGGGGCACCCCAGCCCACCCGGCCAAGAAACCAAGGCTGATGAAGGAGCAGTGCTGTCTTACACCACTGTGTGTCGGGGTCATTTGTTATGCAGCATCAGAAAACCAATTCATTACCTAACGATTAGTGCAACTAACTCACTACTCTGCAAAGGAAAAAGTATTACCAAGGGACAGCAAAGGCACCTCTTGGGTGCGTGACTAGGTTCTGGGGCCACTGCAAACACTTCCCACGCATGAGCTCCTGGTGTTGCACACAACCAGCCAGTGGACCCCTAGCTGACAGGTGAGCAAAGAGAAGCACAGAGAGGTTGAGTGACATGTTCAGGGTCACACAGTGAGCAGCAGTAGGGCCAGATTCCAATCCAGGGACTCAGATCCAAGTCTACCTGCCTGCCAAGGGGCCCCCCATGGGCAAGACCCTCTGTATTGCAGAGTCTCAAACACGCAGCCAGGCCAAGCCCCAGCCAGCTTCTCTGTGGCACTAGCGAGAATGGTTTTGACTAGACATGGCATTGCCTGTCATCTGGCGCCCCGCCTGGCACCTGGCAGACTCTCTGTATCCCAAAGCCCCAGGAGACTGGGCTCTACACCCCCCACCAATCACAGCTCAGGCCCGTGAAATCTCTATGAAAACACATTGACTGCTGCCGGGTGGGCCAGAATAACCAGGGTCCCCAAAAGTCAGCCCCAGGAAGGGCATATCAGCTGTCCACGGTTCCACGCCAGCCTTGCTGACTCCATCACTAGGGCACGAGGTACCAGAATCCGACGGCGCGATCGGCTTCACCGAGGGATGACTCACACACACTTCGGGCTGCTCACTGAGTGCGCAGCCTGATGGCTCCTGTGAAGCCACTGCCGCAGTCCAAAGTCACCGCTCCTCCCTGGTCACCCGACCCCAGCCCCTGGCAGCACCACTCGGCTTCCTGACACCAGACTGACCTTCCTTTTCCAGAGCTTCACGTGGACGGAGTCCCAAGGCATCTGCCTGGCGGGCTCAGCACAAAGCTGAGGCCCAGTCCTGCCACTGCGGCACAAGCAGGGCGGCCTGCGACCGCAGCCACCTTCTCCCCTTCGTCCGTCCCCTGCCAGTGGGCATCGGGTGTCTGCAGACTTCGGAGTCGTGACTAAGGCCACCCTGTCTCTGTGTGCACATGGCTTTCACTGTGAAATCCGTGTGACACCGTCTGGGACTGTGAAGCGGCCAGTCCCTGCTCCGCCCCTGCATCTGGTCTGGAAAGTCCATCCACGGAGGCCCCAGAGCGCCGCACCCCCCTCCTGGCCCGAGATTCTCCTGCCCACCTGGAGTACGGGTGTCCTGCGTCCAGCGGCCTCCACGGCTCAAGCCCCTGGGGCCGCGCAGGAGCCTCGACGAGGGCTCAGGGCGTGCTGGGGGCCGGCCTGGCGCTCGGTCCTCACTGCCAGCCTTCCGGGTGACCGCCCGGGGGCAACTGGAAACCGGGATGGGTCCCGGCTCCCTCCACATGTGACTTCGGCTGTCTTCAGCTGTGTATTGTCATTGGATCCTTTGTCATTGCCACTTGGCACCACAATGAACCAAATATACTCCATGTGGCAACAGGCAAGTTGAGAAGGAAGATGAAACCCCTTAGGCGGACCTGCCCGCCGTCTGCTTCCCATTGCCTGCTGGGCTCCCGGGCACCCGGGAGCAAGCCTGGCCGTGGGCTCTCGCTGTGGCCAGCCCTCTTCCCACGCAAGTCCCTGCTGCTGACCGCCTGCCTTAGTGGTCGGTGTCCCGGATGTGGGGTCTTTGCCTTCACCACTTACTGTGGGCCACCCTGTCCTAAGGCATGACAGCCGGCTCCAGTCTAGGAGGCCCTCCCACATGCCCACCCCACAAGAACATCCAGTGCCAGTTGGGTAACAAGCTTGGACGTCACCTTCTCGGGGCCCATCCCCCTGGCCCTGCTGGGCCAGATCACCTTAACAGCCCACCACATGTGCCGAATTCTTGGACCTTTGACAACAGCAAGCCCTGCTTCCTTCCCCTGTGGAAGGGCGGAGCACGCCCCTGCCCTGCCCCCCAAGGCCTGCAGGCTGGCAGCACAGGAAGGCGTCAGGAAGTGGCTCGACTCAGCAGCCCCAAGAGCGCTAGCTTGTGTACCCCTTACATGATTTTTCTATGGATGGATCAACCAAAAACATTTACTTAGTATGATAAACAATAAAGGACCCAAAATACATATTTAGCATCATAAACAATAAAGGCTATACTAGATGAAACAAGTGTAACAAGAGATACATCTAACAATACGTCTCAGTCCTTACCTGTTTTTCATCTTTCATTTTTAAAAAATATTTTTGTATTAAAATGATTTTTAACGTAACACAAAAACGATGATTCAAAACAGCAGCAACATACACACGTGGCCATTCCCGACTGCTAGTGTGAGCTTTTAGAAGACACACAGCACATTTGAGCATAAATAGGATACGCCCAACACAAGCGATGAAGCCTCAGGAAAGTCACCCAAGGCCCCTCCCCCGGCCCTCCCCTCATCACCCCAAGGGCCACCACCATTATTCCTTAAAGTCTCATCATCCCCCAGGCAAGATGGTGTCGTGCCTTACTTTTTTGAACTTCAGTCTGCTGGGATTTGCTGTTTGTTCAATCTTGTTTCTAAAATCCCTAAATGTGGCGTGTGTCCTGCAGCTCATGTGCGTTGCTGGACAGGAGCCCAGGGTGGGAATGTCCCTCAGAGGGTCCTGGGTCTCCCAGGAAGAGTGGGCTGTTTCTGGTCTCTGCTGTGAGGGACGTGCTGCTGGGCCACTCCGGTGTGCGCTGTGGGGACAGCCCTCGGACTGGAACCACGGGCGACTGACCGTGCCCACCTGAACTTTTCTAGATGCCACAGCTCTGTTTCCGGGCAGACTCCACACCAACACCCGTGTCCACCGCCAGCACACGACACTCTGGAGACCAGACCCAGGTCCAATCTCGTGTAAAACGGCATCACACAGTGCTGCTAACTTGTATTTTCCTGATGATTATGATGCCATAAATCCCCTATTGCAGAAACTGAAGCGCTACCCTCCCTGTGGTACATATGGGGACACTGAGGGCCTGACGGGACTGTGAGGCACAGGGGCCTGCCCCTCAAGACGGGCGAGGCCGCAGCGAGCCCTCGGCTGCAAGCCGCGCCTGGTTTGTGCGCCTGATGCGTGGAGACCAGGATTCCCTTGAGAAAAGGCCCAGAGCCCAGCTCTTCGCCTTCGCCCGTCACCACGATCACACAGGACAACCTGGCAAGCCCCCTGCGCCCGGGGCCTCAGGAGACACGGCTGAGCCAGGGCAGGACCTGGGCGGCGGGATGGCCGGCCCGGCCCGTTCGCATGGCGCCTTCTCAGGAATGCTCAGGCTGAGGTGGCGAGGAAACCCGAGCCTGTTTCCAAGTCCCTTCAGTAGATAATAGGTGTAAATGGCTCCAGGAGCCTGGCATCTGCACAACCTGGTCCCGAGGCTGAGGGGGCCGCCTCCTGGGCTCTGTGGCCCCTGTTCAAGCTGCCAGGACCCCACCTTCTCTGGGCAAGGGAAAAGCTGCATGCTCACCCTCCTCAAAGGGAGGTATAGGGTGGTGTCACCCCCTCAGGGACAGGCTGCTGGCCACTCGGAGAGGGGGAGTGAGCCAGGTGGTTCAGTGAGGTGGTGCTAAAAATAGTTCCACAGCAGGTAAGCCTCCCAGAGCAGCAACATGGCCCCACAGGGGACTCCAATACCACCCTCCACCAAAGAGAGCCAGCATGTGCTCTGGTGGGGGCAGCAAGGACTGGGAACCCCGACCAAACCCTCCTCCCAGCTCGAGTGCCCTGAGAAGCGGGACCCCCGGCAGTTCTGATGCTCTGTCCCTCCAGGTGCTCCTGCTGAGTCTGTGCCTGTGGCCCCTGTGGCCCCTGTCCCC